GCACAAAGGTGCGAAGGCCCAAACATACTGCCAGCATTTCCAGGCAGTTGATGTGAAGTCGACTCTCCTCTTTCAACCAATGGCCGAAAGCCGGTTTGCCATCGCACAGCGCTCCCCAACCCGTGTTGGAAGCATCTGTTGAGACCACCTTCCTTCTGCAGACCATTCCCAGGGGAACGCCCCGTTCCATCCACTGAGTGTCTTTCCAAGGGGCCAGAGCTGCAACGCATGCCTGGTCCATCTTGACACGAAGGCATCCGAGACACCAGGCGTGGGACGGAACTCGTGGTTTCAGCCAGTACGGAAGGGGCCGCATGCAAAGCAGGCCCAGCTGAAGTACCAGAGACGCAGAGGCCATGAGGCCCAGCATCTTCTGAAATGCCTTGAGAGGACAAGGGGCTCTACTTTAAATGAGGCCGCGAGCTGCTGAATGGCCATTGCACGTTCTGGTGCGACTACCGCCCTCATTAGGGCTGAGTCGAGAACTGTTCCCAGGAATGATATCCGTTGGCTGGGGGACACCGCGTCCTTGGCAAAATTGACCCCGAGTCCCAGGCATTCTAAGTGGCTGAGGAGGAAATATCTGTGACATACTAGCTCGTTTTCTGACTGGGCCAGGTTGAGCCAATCGTCGAGGTAATTCAGATTGCGGATTCCCATCTGTCTCAAGAACTGAACTGTTTCACTTCTTGCCGAAGCGCTCCAGTTCTACAGCTGCTGCCAGTCGCCCCAAGACAGCGCCGACTCAGCAGCCCGCATTGCCTGGGATGACTTTCTGCGCAGCGGTAAAGCGCTCAGCGAACCCATCAACCGCAGGTCCAAACAGGCCAGAGGGAAGACCGGGGAGTCGAGGAAGGGGACATTATCCACATCCTTGATCTCCGTGAGGGTCAACCATAGGTGGCGCTCGAGCACCACAAGGCTGGACATGGATCTGCCGATCGCCTGAGCCTTCATCTTAGTGACGCGCAAATGGTGAAGCTCGTTGTCGAGGGGCCTGACGGCGCCCTGGCAAGAACCATTCATCCAGGTGGCTGCGGGTGAGCTCCTTCGGCGTAGACCAATCCAAACCCAGCTCTTGCACAGCTTTAGACAGGACGTGGAACAGTTCGGCATCCATGCCCGTGCTGGCTGCGCTGGGCTCTGCAGATGGCAAGGGGGCGGGGTCGAAAGACGAGCGCATCTGAAGCAGCCAGAGACACACGGTCGTCCATGGCGTCACACTCGCTCCCACCGAACGAGACCAGATCACTCGCAGCCGCAGAGGGATGCTGGTCCGGGTGAGAGAAGAGGTAGGGCGAAGCCTCTCTATGTGGAGAAAGTGAGGCACGTGGGGGCTCAGCCGGCATGGGCTCACTCGTCACCGAGCACCGAGATCCTCTGCCCCGCTGCTATTTCCTCACAGGCTCCTGGGAGGAAGAAAGCAGGAGGGTGCAATTGTCGGAGTCTCTTTCTGAAAAGAAAGCTATATGCGAGCGCAGAGAGGCGAGACTCATATCCTCGCAATGAGGACATTCCCTCTCAGTGAGTGCAGCTTCAGCGTGGGCGGCGCCCAAGCATGAAACGCACTCGCTGTGACCATCAGCGGCAGTAGCGGCGTGGCATTTGAAACAAAGCTTTCTCTATAGAAATCACCGGATAGCGGCAGGGGCAGTGGTGTGTCCACAAGGGTGGCACGGGGTGGCAACTGCCACCCTTAAAATGAGCTTTGCCACCCCAGTTGCCACCCCAAAGCAGCGTATGGGATCGAAGTGCATTGCGAGCGGAGCAGCGTGATTTTAACTGAAGCGGGGATCTTTTGAAAGTCGGAGAATTCTGGTTTTCGCTCGCTCTCAGAGTGCTCCACTACCGCTCAATCACTAGCACAATTAATGCCATAACTATAGCCGTTCTAAACTAGTTCTGCCTACAAGGATTGTACTGCACGCACACATGTACAGACACATAACGGATCACTCACACACAGAAACAAAAAATATTGTCAACGCTGCCCTGTGATTTGTCAATAAAAATGCTTAGAAACAGAAAAGTTATACCGAAAATTTCTTTGTGTTTTGAAGTAATCAAAATCCACAGCTTCACTATTAGTAGAGAGACGTTGCACAGACAGGCAGGACTAATTTACACGTAATCGCGCTCTCACAAATGCATTCAAATAAATGTAATTTTA